TACTATACGTAAAAAAACTCATTTTAAACAATATTAGGCATAACAGGTTTTAGAATTTGTCTTGCTGATTTAAGGTGCTCCTACACTGTCATTATTTCTTTTAGACTAAACTTTTAAAAATTCATACTGTAAGACGGTAGTCCAAATCAAATCCAGATATAGTTCCTTGTTTATAAACTTACGATTTGGTCTAATACAAAAAATAGATGTAAAAGCACCTTTACTGTTCAAATACAGAAATGGTAACAGTGACTTGGAATGGCTTGAACAAAAGAAAGAAACGGATTGCATTATTTCTTTGATAAGTTGTCAGAGAGTGTTCATTTAAAGATTCGGGAAATCTTCTTTCTTTCAGTTGAAATTTTCTTACATTTATTCCTACCGATTATAGCCGAAAATATAGCAATTAAATATTTGACGAACATTCTCTGTAAACTTGCCAACAATTAATTGGTAAAAGTTAACAACACGTAGTGCAAATGGGGATAAATGCAACAAATGCATGTAAGAATTTTTATGCACCAGATATCTTGATTACTCAACTGGAAGTAAGTGTGATTCCTAATTGCAGGAAATCAGAAGCCTCTATAAGAACGACGGCCCGTCATAATGGTCGCGGTTAACGATGGTAGTAAAACTGTAATCCAAACTTAATATTATAAATGCGAAATTAACAATAATAAACTCCCATATAAATTTTTATTGACACAATTTGTATACGCGTGTTTACGAAAAATATGTGAAAATATAGAGAAATTCCTGAACAAATTTTGTTTTGGATTTACTATTCTGAGTCAGGAATTAAAGATATTCCACTTTGAAATTTTGGAGGTTTTGAGTTACGTAATTGAATAAAATATATTCGGTGTATTATTATATCAAAATAAACTACAGAAGCCTTAAACAGAGTTAATAGAAGCTGAGTGGTGCCGTGGGCTTGTGACGTGACGAAAGTTCAGAGGAAATTATTTTGTAAACTGGTATGGTCAAAAGGCATGAAGTAGTAGGTAGTAGTAGGTAGTGTTAATTGTAATGAATATTATGATGTTTTACTCCCACATTTTTTTTGTGAAAATACTCCACTGTTTGTTATAATTATAATACAAACATCGAGCACAAAGAAAAATTCATTCGATTTGACAGGTCTCAAACTTGCGTCTGTACCATACCAGGGCGACCGCTCCACCAACTGAACTACAAATCAGCAAGACCTTACGAATTTTTCAATGCGTTTGTTACAGATCTTTGTTAATTATAATAATATTCATTACAATCTATAAAGCGACATCTCTTGTCAACTCCTGGTACACGAACAAGCTGTCAGATGGAAGGAATTTTTCTTTGTATTCGACCCTTGTATTAATAAATATAAAAAATAGGTTTCGAAATATATAGGATTTCAAATTTCATTTTAAGCATCAAACTGATCTTTAAATTGGCAGCCTCCTGATAATTTTGACGCTTAAAGTCAATAGCACGCCGGCTGTGGACTGACTCATAAGTAGCATGTTGCATTTCAATATTAAGGTGTTTCAATCTTGGATATCGAGACCGTGCAGCATTCGGAAATTGTGATTGCAGCAGACGTGCTGTTAAGTGTAAAGGGACAAGCGTAGCTGTTTAAGATATCTGGTACACTGTTATAATAGAAAGAAAACCCGATGTTGTGCACTTAATCTAAAGTCATATAACTCTTAAAATATAACAATGTATTTAGGGACGGTTTCGTACAGGATGCTAGAAAAAAAAATGTGACATTATTATTTTTGTTTCAATAAGTCTCCTTACGGGAGACCCGCATCTGGCAGTGTAGGACTTTCACGGTTTAATACAGATACGTATCAACATTGGACTTAGTCGTTAAGTATATAAACATGTAAATACGAACGCGTATACGCGATACACCATGAGCGCTGGGTTCTATTTTGAACATTCATAGAATGATTCGAATTAATGATTAGACTTAATTTACGTTAAACCAAGTTTCAAGAGCAGGCTTGGCGGAAAAAATGTAGCTATACATTATCAATGGTTGGTAAAACTATTATAGGGGTCTTACCATGAACTCTTATTACAGTTCAGTATAAGTTCGTAACGACAAAAAAGCGGAATGGTGATATACACTTCATGTAGCGCTGTCTCCCAACGATTCATTTTAGGTCCTAAACTGAATTGTAATAAGAGTTCATGGTAAAGCTCCTGTACACTAAAAGTATTTCCGGAAACACGGAACTGGAAAAAGTAATTTACTAATATTTGGTAGTTTTAACTAGGGTTGTTGCTGATTCAGATTTTTTTACATCTACGAATGCAATTGCTGATTTTTTTACCTTAACGTCAGCATCCTGATGTGGACGCTAATTTGATCTATTTAATAAAAAATCATGAAAATTTACAGATCCTTATCGATTTTACATGAAGAAGCTATTTTAATGGTTTTATGACATTTATTGACAAAAAAAAATCAACCTTTATGCCGTCCGTCATAGTGGAATTTTCTCAAAGGTAAGAACAATAGCTCAGCTGGTTTTTGGACATACAGTCTGTTTCTGGTTTGTAAATGTCACGCCGCAAATGACGAATGTCGGCAAATTAATATCAGCGTCGATCAATACATTATGTTGCGAATATCAGCCTCCGGTGCGGATGCTGATATTAGCAATAACCCTAGTTTTAACCACTTATGTCACTCCTTGTAGACATTTACCTACTCATTTGGAACAATCTATTCCGATCACTGGTAATTGTATAATTACTAATTGCAAAAAAAAGATATTATAATCGCACGTTTAAACCAAGTCAACGAAAATGACACTTTTGCAAATTTAAACTTAATTTCAGAAATTATTACTTATTTTTAGTGACGATAGGTTTCAATGTGCTATATATTAATCATTCATTGTCGGGAAAAATTGAGATAATATTATATATATTCAACGAAACTATTTTAAAATGTGTACTTTACGTGAGTCACAATAGGATACAAAGTGAGACAAGACAACAGAGTAGAGACTACTTCAGACACTCCGCTATACTTGTTATTATACCGAACGCGCGCTCATACTATTTTTTTTTGTTTTTATCGATAACGGGCTTGCGCACGCAGTACGTACTTCCAACACTACGCAAGTGGGAGAAAGAGAGCAATATCGCTGTCCCGCTCCAAAGACTTATGATCAAGTCTGTAGCGAAAGAAATTGAGTTTTGTTTGTAATGTAAACGTTTGTTAAGCCGGAATATTAAGAGCGATCAATTCTTGTACGAAATGAATATGTATCAAGATTATGTACCGACACTTTAGGGAAGCAAAGGCGTACGAGTCGAATTATAAAGTTTACAAGGTGAGTGAGAAACATTATTTATTAATGTTTTGGTTCATATTATTATTAAACAAAAATAATTTTTTGATGAAAAATATTTCTTCCGACTAAACAAATGGAAATAGCTTGAAAATTAAACCACATCAATAACATTTTTTTTTATTAAAATGGATTCTATTACGCCTTTTCTTCCGCGAAGTATCGATTAACATATAACTAAAATGTGTACCTTTAGCCGCGGACTAACAAATCGACGGAGAGTTATCAGGACTTCCTACCATTGATATTTCAGATCCATTACATCAGATCGATATCCCATACAGTATAAAACGTTCATACAATTGAATATTTATATTATTTTATTTTGATTTTGGCGGATCATGACATTATGATATTTCTCCGCCGACTTATAAAGCTTTCTTAAACTGATTATAATAAGACCTAGCCGTCAACAAAATTAAAATATTTGAAATAAGACTGAAGTAGAGGTATATTTTCAAACTTGCTTATGTATACACATTGGAAATAAAACTTAGTTGGACGTCGAGTTATTTTTTCGAGTCTAATAAATTAAGCACAACACTAAACGTACAATCACGCAAAACAGTCAATATGACATATTGACATATGTATGTGTAACAATAAATGATTATTATTTATTATCAATTTTGATTATTTTTTTTTTCCAATGGTTATTTGTGTCAATGTAACTTGTTTAGCGCTTATATGTATTATTTTAACTTATTATTATTTGTATTTAATAGTTAGTTCATATTTTAATTATATGACAGGCAATGGCAGGATAATAGTGAGGCTATTTACTTGTATCGTCCTTAAATGATTCACATTATTACTTATGATTTATTTATATTATTATGTTATTATTTATCATTGTTTGTGATTTATGTACTTTTGCATTTTAAATAAAGCTGATTTTATTGTTATTTTTTGGCAACGCGCAATTGACGCCGCGTCATTTTCCTGCACTAAGAAAATGATATCCGATGCTGTCCATAATGATTTCCCCAAAAACTCATAGTACGTGATAATTAAATGAAGAGAAAAAATGCAAAATTTAACTTAATATAAATTTAACATTGAGTGCATCTTGTTAAAAATGAAATATAAAAGTTAAATTTAAAAAACACTCAGGAGGCAACAGAGGCCATATTGGAGATACTGTGTTGTTATATGTAAAAAAATTGTAAAATAACTTATACACATAAAATTACGTTTTATAAAACATATAATTAGGTACGTAAGTTTCAATAATTTCATAACACTTTTTTTGGGCAAACGTGTCGGATGGCGTCACTAACATCGGCGTCAATATTGCTGAGCTCTAAATGTGCGCTCATATTAATCAACTCTATGACAAAACAGAGATTTCCGATTGAAGTTGGTAATAAAAAAAATATATATATTTTTCTTATAAGTAGAATATATAATACGTGGATAATACGTGATTGAATTTCCATACATTATTGATCCATCATAAATTTCCAAAGCGTAGTGTGACGTTTTGTAATGCGTCACCGACACCGCTGACAATTTTCAGAAAAGTCCACTTTACAACTTAATAACCGCCACATTTTCACCTTTTTTTTATATAACTCGATTAAAGGTCGTTAAGTAACTTAAGAAATTTATACTGAAATTTCTTATCTAACATGTCAAAATAAAGTTCAATTTTTTTTTGTATTTTATAGCAGGTTATTTTATAGAGACATAATTTGCGAGAGTCGATCAAATAAACTTATTATTTTTTTCTGAACACCCTGTACTGTTTCCATCAGTTTCTTGGCCTATCGAACCATACAAACTTTACAGATCACGGTCAGTCCCCTGTACATCACCTGTAATGTAGAATTATAACAATTTAGTACAGTCTCTTGATGCTTTTTAACTAGGAAATATTTATGAGCGAATTTTGTGGGTACGGTCGTACATCTCTCTGACGAGGTGTTTGGCTATCTCATTTTAGTGTGTAGTCTGTTTTAAAAAAAAAATTACTAAGAAATAAACTCTATTTAGTCATTCTTAGGTCTAGGATCGCTGTGTAATTTTTGAAGTCAAGGCCTACAACATCTACAGATTTTATACTTGTATATTTAACTAATAAATGAAAATACAAATACGAAAATATTTTTTTATTATCATTCAAACTTTTGCTCTCCAATCGGGATACCAAAACAACTATAAGTAGATGTACCAAAGTTCAAGTATGCTTCAAAAAGTGTAAAAAAAACAATTTCTACACAGAATCGAACCTGTTTATTCGTCTCGATCTCGAAATGACTATTCACGCATGCGTGCATGGCTAATGCTAAATCAGAAACCACACTCCTTCACAATCTACTGCAGAATATTTTCACTAAACATCCTATAAATGTTATTTTATTTTAGATGCTAAATAGTTATTTGTTATGCGTGGCTGCAAAGTTAATTGACGCGAGTGCTTGTATTGAAACCTGAGCAAGCGAAGGACTCGGTTCGTTGGTGGTTCAAAAATAGAATACTGAACGTAGCGAGGATTTCAAGGCACGATACGCAAAACAGCCTTGCTGCCGAGCGAAAAACACAACTTTTCACCTCACTATAGCTAGGAAAATGGTAGATGAAAAAAACAAACAGTTGAATTAGAACAAATCACTTTTAATAAACAAAATAAGTTATCGTTGGCAATTGAATATCAATAATAATAAGAATAAAATAAGGCAACGGATTTATATTACATAAATAATGTACGACAATCGCGTAGTTGAACGTGTCATTATGTTTTTTTCATCGAAAGGAAAAGTTCATCGTCAAGTTAGAATTATTGAACGCAGATTTCTAATGAGAAAGAAAGCATTTCCAAGCTAGTGAGGTGAAAACGAATTTTTAATTTATAAAAATGGTTGCCAAGAAGTGGCTCCATCTATTGACAACAGAATGACAATTTTGTTTAATATCCAATACTTAAACAATTGCTACGAAAATTAGGCAGAGAACGCTAACCCCAGAATGACACTATTATGCTTATGAATAAATACTACATATCTGTGTGTACGAACTGTCAACAGTTTTCTTTTTAATGTAGAGTGATAAATGTTAAGTACATAGTTTAGTATCGTGACTAAAGATGGCGCATCAGAACATTCTAGAAATTTTTGTATAGGCATATAGTTAGTTTCAATATAAATGAACCCCGTGTTTTGAGCATTATAAATACAAAAACCACAGCCTTTTTAAAGATGGAGTAAATTGACAAGCAGCTAGTGATTGCAGTCGATAAATATTATATCGACTATCGACTGAATGTTGGTCACAGGCCCATTTGAATTGTAAATTTTTATAAGTTCATACGAACTACGTCTATAATACACAGAGGAGACATATTTTAAAGTTTTTCATTTTAATTGAATATAAATAATCAAATTCGCATGTCCTTATTAAACGTATATGAATAAAAATTGATTTCGATGCTAGTAGGCCAACTGCCAAAATATGTCGTAACATTCACAATTCATTTTTGGTAAAATTTTACCTCGTTTCACAATCTATCGATAAAACTGTCGACAACAACTACATGACTATTTAAAATTCTATTAAAACTGGCAACTCTGCAAATGTCATTTTAATTTGTCTTCAGAAAAGACAGACTATAAGAAATTAATAGTCCGGGTTAAAATCGTGCAAAATAAAGAATCCTAAGGGATCGTTATTTAGTAATTACTTACCTAACGGATCAGGCTTTCTCCACGTCTTCGATTTCAAATTCTTTTTCCCAACTTTCGTCTGAATTAGCACTAGCGTCGTCTTTAACTTTTTCGTCCCCAAAATAATCTTCTACGAGGTTATTGCCACACACATCAGTTTTCTTGGGCGATTTTTTGTCTGTGTTATTTTTTACATTTTTGTTTTTGTTTTCCTTCTCTCTGTTCTGTGCGTTATTGTTCGTGACGTCACGCTGTTTCGTTTTCTTGCTAGCAATTTCTTGTTCGTATTCTTCTAGAAGGAGGGTTTGTTGTTCTTCTGTTAATTCTAAGTCATTTGCGAAGTCTTCTGGAACATGTAAACATATTGTTATAAAGCTGCACTCATAATATTATAAAACGTTACACAGAACAAGTAGTGAATCGTTGGAAAGTGAAAACATAAGTAATGGCTCCCGACGCTTAAAAGACTTTAAAAATGCCCTAATTTTTGCCAATCTATAAGTACATTAGAAACACAATGACAACATTTAATGAGGACTCAGATAATTCAATGAAGACTCGGCTCAAAGAGCCTGTATCCAAACCAAAAATCTTAAAAAATAAATAAAACTGATAGTTAAATAAAAAATAAATACTTTCTACGGGCCAGCGCAAAACGGCGAATGGAAAGGCATAGGATGTTAAATTTATCAATGTTAAATTTTATGTTATTACAATGAAATAAGGTATAAATTTCACTGCTGTGAGATGCAGAGAGAAATTAGCTACGTCTACATTACATACATTTTAAAAACTATTTAATTGATGACTTTTTCGTTACAATAGTAACAAAAGTCGATAAAAGCTTTTTTTCATCTGTATGACTCGTCAAGTCTCTGACCACGATCTAATCCCACGTACATTTTGCATTGTATGGCCAAGTAGACGGAGGGCGTCAATCAATAGATGGCGCGGGCACCTCTCTTTTTTTGCCTTACAATTTTTAGATAATTTTTCCGAACTGGAAATATATTTCATAAGGCAGCTTATTAACTTCAAAACATGTTTAAATAAACACATGAACCCAGAAAACCAGTAGAAAGCCTGAGTTTGGAATATGTGTAAGTGTAGGGGGGAAAAATACTTCTCGCGTTGGCCACCAGCGGTCTTATAAGCTGATTACTCTATACGTGTTATGTGTAAGGTACTCTTTGTCTCTGACCCGGAACTGTGTGGAACCTTAAAATTATAGACTATATAATAGCAGCAGTATCTTATGCTTCTTACCGTCTTCCCAGGCAACGGTGTCAACCTCTTCAACGACTTTTTCGTAAATATGCATGATTTCATCACGCTCTTTGTCTACCACAGGCGTTTTCTTCGGGCTCCTAGAAATAATTATTATTTACACCATTTAATTCCGAAGATCCACTTCCGAGGATAATAGTATGAATCACAATAAATTGTCCAAAATGTAAACAAAGATGATAACCGAGCAAAAAAAATGGTAGTCTCCTATTTTTGACGATAATAAACGTTTGGAACTCTTCCAGTTGTAACCAACAGGGCTAAAAAGGTCGCATTGGTAGAATCACAATATGATTAATTGTCAATTCATATTATGAATTTTCAAACAAAACAAGAAACGCAATTCATCTATTTGACAGTGTTCTATGGAGACCTCCGTAGAACATTTGTCATATAGACGAACTTTGTAAGAAAATCATAATATGTATTGTCAATTAATAGATAGATAGATAAAAACTTTATTCACTTCCATGTTCCATGACAACTTATTTACATAGGACCCACTAAAACTAACACCATATTTATTATCATATTGAACCACTTAAAATAACAAATTTTATAACAAAAAGAACGTATAACTAATTAAAGTAAATAGTTTTGGAAATCACGGCAGCGAAAAGGCGCTGGCTTAGCATAAATGCCGCGGTATCCCACGACACTGGTATTGTGCCAGAATCGAAAGATTATATATATATTTTTATTTTATGAGAAAAACAATATGATAAAATGTGTACGTGCATGCGAGAGCGTGTGTGTGTGTGTGTGTGTGTGTGTGTGTGTGTGTGTGTGTGTG